TAAGTGAATCACTGCAATTATTAAGTTAGTAACACAGTTGTTAAGTGAGTCTGGCTTCCCCATTGACTTTGCTTGTCGCAAAAGGGGATCACGTGATCTCACAACATTGCAAATGTCATAAATATGAGCCAGTTGTCAAGCATCTGAATTTTGGTCATGTGATCGTGGGGATACTGCAATGGTTGGGTGGAGAAAAAAAGTCATAACAACTCACATTTTTCAGTATCGTCATAACTTTGAACGGTCTCTAAATCAACTGTTGTAAGTCGAGGACTACCTGTACAGTCAAAAACTCTCTGAGAATAACCTCATCTCGGTCAAAAAAAAAAGAGAAAAGAACTAAGTTCTCACGTCCTGCTTTCGTTTCGTCCAGTTTTACATATAACTTTGCATGGGTCTTGATATTTCGAATCTCAAAAAAATCCCAGAACATGGAAACTAACACTAATAATTTTATATTCACAATGTCAGTTGCTTGCGGCTTTTTATTCCCCCGCCATCACAGAAGTTTTATATTACAGAAATTTTCAAGAACTGAATATTATTAACATCGGTCCAGTAACCATAAGGGCGTATTACTGAAGTGATTGGTGTGGGTGAGTATATAGATAATTGAATAGGTATATTTCAAAAAAGGTAAAGTGGCAAACAATAAATATCAAATATTTCAATTCTTGTGGATTTAGTAGTGCCTGTTCCTCATTACCTAATGTAATTTAAGTAGCTTGCCTACAATATGTATAACTAAACTCAAAATAACCAACAAAATATAACCAGAGATTGAAAATATGTGACCCTTGGTCCTGGCCTAGATTGGTAAAATGTTGTAATAAAGAAAAAAGATATATGAATTGTCTATCTCTGTCTCAAAATATGTAATTTCAAATGTATTAGAGTACCTTCTTTTGCTCTGTATAATTCATACCTAGAAATTAAAGATGAATTATAATGCCTTCACGTTTTCTCCTATCTAAAGTCAACACCCCCACTTGTCAAAAATATTTTAGTTCCCCACCACTGCCCCTTCAAACTATAGAGCCAATTCCAGATGTAAACAAGGGTATAACAGTTGTCAAAGTTTGAGAAAAAGAAAAAAGAATTCAAGAAATGGTTGAATTGGGATGTCAAAAGGCAGCCTCATCTAAGCTTTGTTCTGGCCCAGAGACATTAATGCTTTATTAATCTAGAAAGCAGCAGAAAGTGAAACAAAGGGCAATTTACAGAAGCCTGTTAGCTAAGCAAAAAGAGGTGGTGGGATTTTTCTAGTTAGTGCCGATATGATCATCCTAAGGATAGGCAGAAATAGCAAGTTGTGTGAGCAGAGCAGGCGGCCAAGGAGAAATGCTTCTCTCTCAAGGCTTGAATGTATATTTGCTGCAATTTATATTGCAGCAAATTCTATTATCTAGGCTGCCAATCAATTCCCACAAACACGAGATGTGAAGATGTCCAGATCCCAAATGTTTTTCGCATGCCCTCTATTTTTTTTTTCCCTGCACAGGCTTGAAATTTAAGACTCTTAATTCCTTGGGCAGAATTCTCTGTCAAATGAAGTTAATAGCATAAGGTTAATCAGATTTTCAGATTTCTCCTTCCCATCTGGGAAGCATATTCTAAATTCAGCCTAGGAACAGGAGCTATTTGAGCTACATGTGGCGATGGGCTTTTTACATATGGACCACATTCACAGATGTGCGCCATGGAACGATATCCTGCGCGATGGGTTTAATTGTAATATTTGGTAAGAAGAACAAGCCACAGCAGATGCACAGAGATAAGAATTAAAACTGACTTCCTGAGTTGTAATGAAGCAAAGATAATGTGATACAATCAGCCAGTCACAATTAAGGAGTCATAAATCAACAAAATATTATTTTTATGAGACTGATAAATGAGATGAGGTAAATTGACAATGTTCATTTAAGGACATTTTGGGGTAAAAAAAACTGCTCAGATTTTTTCATTGCCTCTAGCTCAATAAACTTCTGTATACCACCTACAGATTCTGTAGCCTGAGTATACATGCATCTATGAGAGCACACATTTGCACCATGCCAAATTTTGCAATGGTGATGACCTTGACTACTTGTTATTCGTCACTCTCTTATAAAATTGCAATAATTGACTAAGCCAGACTTTTCCAACTCATAAAGTATGTTAGGGGCAAGGAGGTGTTGCATACTCAATAACATCATCAAGCAGTTTCAATATTTTGTCATCTTTTAGTGAGCAGGGTAAAAAGAACAAAGGGGCAGACTCCACAGGCTGGATTCTAAATAGCTGGGGTCAACTTTTAACTTCTCCTAGACGCAACTTTTGGTAGGAGAGCAGAAACAGTTTGTCTGGGAATAAAGCTGTCTTGGCAAGGCAAAACCATTGTCTATCTAAGGAGCTAGGCCTTAGTGATCACAAGCAGGAGAAGTGACATAATCTTACTCCTAGATGTAACTTTTGGTAGGAGAGCAGAAACAGTATGTCTGGGAATAAAGCTGTCTTGGCAGAGGCAAAACCATTGTCTATCCAAGGAGCTAGGCCTTAGTGATCACAAGCAGGAGAAGCGACATAATCTTACTCCTAGACCCAACTTTTGGTAGGAGAGCAGAAACAGTATGTCTGGGAATAAAGCTGTCTTGGCAGAGGCAAAACCATTGTCTGTCCAAGGAGCTAGTCCTTAGTGATCACAAGCAGGAGAAGCGACATAATCTTACATGTTTCAGGATTGTTGCTAGTTTGCAAAAGGTGATCTAAATTCCAGAGAGGGCCCTGAAATACTACCCTAAATTACCTCTCACTCTGCTAGAGAGAAGCTTGTAAAAGTCAGAACTGCGAAGGGAAATCCAAGTCCTCAATCGTGTTTCTCAGCTTTTTTTCTTTTAAAGAGATCAAACTAGTAATTCCTGCAAAGTCGAATCATAGAGATAGCTCAGCAGTCAGGAGAAATATAGCCACGGGATGCAGACAAAAATTACTGTATAACTAAGTTTAAAGGGTGCCTTCCTTTAAATGCAATATTTCCAAAAACACCCCTTCACATGCAGGTTAAATAATCCACAGGCAAGCCTGATGGGTAGGCAAAAGATAGGCACTGCAGCTCTGCATGATATATTGATCCAGTTGGTGCCTCTAAAGTCAACACAATCAGATCTCTCAGCTCACTCTTGTTGCTGACACACTAGTGTGTGCATGCTTTCATAGTTACCAATACTCCATTCACCACTTTGACCTTGAGTCCTTCTAAACAAATGTAATAGAAAGGGGCTTGAAGGTGAACTGGCCAAATGTCTAAAAAGAGCTACTATACACCCTTTTTATTAAACACTGTGTTTTATTTTAGACATTAAATTGGGGAGGGGGGAGCAGGGGAAGCATAGAAGGTGCCTCCAACTAGAATACAGAAAAATCTTCTCTCTTTGTTGCTGGTAAGTAAGTAAAATGCTGTCTCAAAGCTACACTGACAATCGCATTTACTAGGGTAGTTAGGCCCAGCAGACAAAAGTGAGAGACTTTTTTTCTGAATAAACATGCTGTTAATGGACATGCTATCTTTTAAAAAGATTATTTCTAGGTTAAGGTGGAGAGACCTGGAATGTTAAAAAGGGTTAAACAAGATAAGGGCAGTTCCACTGAAGGAAATATTACGGGGTCACAAACAGCTCCTAATATTGAATTACAGAGGTATAAACGCAGCCTTTTCAACGAGATGGTCTAAAGCAGACTTTTTTTGTTGTGTGTGTGTTTTTTTAAGTACTCGTTCGAGACTCCGTGACGCGCGTGTAAAAAAATCAGCCTAGAACAAATCCAACAGGAAAAAAAAAACAGTGAGCAGCGATCCACACAAACGTTAATTGGGTTGGGGGGGGGGAGGCGAAGCGAGCCAAATGGATTACTTTTAAAGACGTACAACTGTCTTTAAANTAAGTGTTCTATCTTTTTATTCTTGATGAATGTATTTTATTCTCCTTATGTACACTGAGAGCAATATGCACCAAAGACAAATTCCTTGTGTGTCCCATCACACTTGGCCAATAAAGAATTCTATTCTATTCTATTTATAACGGCTGCTACATTATTTTAGATACTCTGTCATTACGGTTCCATCTTGCCCTGCGTGAATGACAATTTACAAGTCTCCTGAATGAGCAAATGAAACAAATTGCTGAACTCCAAAGCACTAACAATGTTTTCTGCCTTTTCTGCTCTGGCTCCTTCCCCCTGGAACATCTCCTCCCCATCTCCAAGGTCAGAGCTGCTCCACCCTTTTTTTGAAAGGCCTTGAAGACATGGAACACCAATGGGAATGTGGCACTTTGGAGGGGGCTAATGGGGGTGGATAACACTCCACCTCCTCCCTGGGCACACTTTTCCCCTTCCCTCTCCACCCTTAGCTTTATTTTAATTTCATTTTAAATTTAAGATCTTTATTTATTGTTTTGATGATTTTTTTAATCAATGTCTGAAAGCTGCATACAGTTGCTTTTGGCGAGATGGCCTGTGTACAAGTTTAATAAATAAAAATATTTTCCATCCTACCCATAACTTTACGACTCTCTATCACTACAATGTTTCCACTACTGCCTTTTGCCCGTAAATTAAATTAATACCTTCCAAACTATACCACCTGACTTTCCCCAAAGGAAGATGAGCATGCCTCTCAATTAGTATTTTCTAAAGATATAAAAAATGCTTTTCAGCACATATATTATATCATTAAACAAAGGGGAGGGGGGGATATTCCACATTGCAAAGTCAACACATTGATTTGCGGCTTCTGCTCAGTCCCCTCTTAACCCTTTCCACCAAATTTAAAAAGCCACAGGTTAACGCAATTATCTCCCTAATACATTCCTACATATTGTCTTCCCTCCCTGCACAAATGGAAACAAGGTTCTAGTCCTCACTGGCTGGGAAGGGGGGGGGAAATCAACAACTTCACCGGCAGAATCACTGAATAAGATTTCTGTCATTTAAAGATAGGAAGAAAATATATTTTTACACCTTACCTGCTTGAATTGTTCTTCATAAGTCCAATCTCCATGGTCCAGGACTTGGGGCTGCAACTGTGACAGGCTTTGCTGGGGAACCCCAGAATGGCCCCGTTCTTGCCCCCCTACCAGTCTGGAAGGTTCTCCTCGGTATTGCTGGGGGGTCTGTTGCTTGTGCAGAAATGCGGTGCCAGGGTTTGATGTAGCCACTGCACTGGAGCCAAGCCCTCCCTCCACCATTTCTTCTTCTTCTTCCTCGTAGTCTTCTTCCTCCTCACCCAGGTCTTCTTCAAAATCTTCAACCCACTTGCCCTTCCTAAAAGAGGGAGAATATTATAAGGAGGAAAATGTGAATACCTAAAGCAGGATAATAAGAATGGTGACTCTGGGTTCTAATACACCTCCAGGTACCTCTCTCTGATGCCAATCAAGCTTTTAATAGCAGGCATGTCTAGGTTAAAATAATTAAATAGCAGGCTGGCATCTTGCAAAGCACCATCACCTTGCATCGTAGTCAATTTGCAGCAATACCTTTGGGCCCCAGTACATCTCTTAAAAATGACAGACAGCCTTCCAATAATTATTTTGGGACGCACTGTACCCACCACGGCAGTCATTCCAGGAGTAGGCAGATTTCCCATAACGTAATGTCATGTGAACTGCAGCCAGGACAGACTTGCCAGATATGCTCTAAATCCTAAAAAAGTTGTTTATTCTAGCCTACAGTCAATCCTACACTAAAAATAGCCTTTCTATTAGATGCCTGAATTACGGCATAAATTTGGGGGGGGGAGGGACCTAAGTTTTTTTTCTTAAAGTAGCTAAGAGACAAGAAACTGCAGCCTCCCAGCTTTTTTATAACTTGAATTATACAATAATACAATACAATAGCAGAGTTGGAAGGGACCTTGGAGGTCTTCTAGTCCAACCCCCTGCCTTCAGACAAATGGCTATCCAACATCTTCTTAAAGACTTCCAGTGTTGGGGCATTCACAACTTCTGGAAGCAAGCTGTTCCACTGGTTAATTGTTCTAACTATCAGGAAATTTCTCCTTAATTCTAAGTTGCTTCTCTCCTTGATTAGTTTCCACCCATTGCTTCTTGTTCTACACTCAGGTGCCCTGGAAAATAGTTTGACTCCCTCTTCTTTGTGGCAACCCCTGAGATATTGGAAGACTGCTAACATGTCTCCCCTAGTCCTTCTTTTCATTAAACTAGACATACCCAGTTCCTGCAACCATTTTTCATATGTTTTAGTCTCCAGTCCCCTAATCATCTTTGTTGCTCTTCTCTGCACACTTTCTAGAATTGTTAACTGGAGACCCAAAACTTTGGCCTGTTTTACTATGGTATGTCTGGTGAGAGGGGGGGGGGAATTAAAGGGGAAAAAGAGGTACTGTAACCCTGCTTAGATTTTAGACACCCCTTCATTCCTTAAGAACACTGAAAAACGTCAGAAACTGAGGTTCTGTTTCAACTGGCTGTTGGGGTACAGCTCTTCACAAAGGCTGCTTTCAGGTCCCTCCCTCGCCCCCCCTCCCCCCATTACAGAAACCATCCCTAGAAGTCAGGCAGCTGATTATGGGAATCAAACTCCCAACAAATCTGAAGGTTGCTAGAGTAGAAGTATCTGACTGCTGAGTAAACAAAGGCATATTTAGACACCCTTCACTCCCCTCAAAAGATTCTGGAAAAATGGCATTCTCTCCCCCCCCTCCCTTTGTACTTTTTTTTTTTTTAAATAGGTTGGAAATTTTCAAACAAGGATCAGGAACTTAATCAAAAAGCCCAAGGCATTAAAAACTAGCCAGACTGGTTTTGCCTTAAGAGCTGCTGGTTTTATTGTCTCCTGACCCCAACAACACTAGGGAGGGGCCCAGGAGCCTGATGGAGAAACACACCAAAATTACCAAATCAAGAGCAGTCAAGTGAGCGATAATCTTGCTTTCCAAACGTTTTGCAAAAGGTTTTGTGTGAGCAGCAAATCAACTCAGCACGTTTATTTTCTCCCACCCTGGGATGGGGGAACAATACCTTTTCACCTTTGAAAAAGTAATGAAAAACGAGAGACGCTCCAGTTTATAAAATGGCTACTCATCCACGGCAAAAGGGATACCGTGCAAGAGAAAACAAACCCTTGGCTTTCTGTCCGAGCCCAGAAAGTTTGTGAATTACATGTTTTAGCACAAGAATTACAAGGTAGCACAAACTAGCAGAGGTCTTCAAAGTTGGCAATTTTCATACTTGTGGACTTCAACTCCCAGAGTTCTCCAGCCAGTTCTGCTGTGAGTTGAAGTCCACAAGTCTTAAAGTTGCCAAGGTTGGGGAACCCTGACATACAGCTACACCCCAATCTTCCATTCCAATGTCCCTGCAAATATAACATCTGAGCCAGGGGTGGGTTTCAACCGGTACGGCCGTACCGGATGGTGAAATTTAGCGTTCCTTCCTGTACCCGTTGGTCAGGAGGCCCCGTACCGGAACGCTCCTTCCCCTCGTTCGTTCTTTCACTCGCCCAGCCCATCCTCACCCTGCTGCCGAAAAGTTCTCAGAAGAAGAACCAGAAGAAGAAAGAACTGGTGAGTGGCTGGGGGGTGGGGGGAGGATGTTGGGGGAACAGGGAAGAGGCAGAGGGGCTGCTGGAAGAGTGTATGCGTGTGCACAGGCTGTGGGTTTTAAAAATTTCTTGTGTGTGCACAGGCTGCGAGTTTTAAAGACATCTGAGTGAATCCAGGAAGAGGGAAGAGGCAGAGGGGCTGGAAGTGTGTGTTTAAGGTGGTCGATAATGTTGAAGACCGGCAAGGACAGTCATATTTCCTCTGTAAGTAGGTGATTTATTGTTTTGTGTACTTATTCTTATTTAAGTAGTAAGTGCACAAAATAATACATTTCTTTTTCTTTCTTCTTTTTGTAGATCAGTGACATCAACTTGGCCACTCCCACCCGATCACATGACTGCCAAACCACTCCCACCCGGTCACATGATCACCAAGCCACTCCCACCCAGTCACATGACTACCAAGCCACTCCCACAAAACAGGCCACACCTACAGAATAGATTCTAAAAAAAATTGAAACCCACCACTGATCTGAGCGCTGAGGGGCCAGGACAAATATTACATTTCATTTTATTTCACTGAACATTTATCTAGCATTAAAAATATTTCATAGGATTCCTGTCCAATCATGCATCGGTCACATTAAAAATTACAATTTGGTTGAGAAAACAGACAAACCTGAAAGGTCTCTGGGATAATGACTTCTAAGGGGGTGGGAGTGTCAAAAAAAACCCAAAACACCAAGATGATCATGGCTTGTTATATAAACTGAAACTCTACCCCTTTTAATAAAGTCTGTGTCATATGAGTGATGCCCATAACAAAGGGGAAGGGCTTTGATCCCATGGATGTCATCTTGATTTTTTGACAATGAGCCCCCCTCCTCCACACCCCTTCATCAGTGGCACAAGTCATGTGGGCCTTCATGATCTAAACATTTAAGCCCCTTATGAGGACACTAGCATAACAGCAAAAAGTGCTGGGTGGGACTCAGATAAGACTTACATATCCTCTTCGTCTGAGCCTATTTCTCGGGGGTATTCGCCATCTTCCTCCTCCTCCTCTTCTTCCTCCTCTTCTTCCCCAACAAGCTCTTCTTCCTCTGAAGAATGGCTCTCCTCCGACCCAACTGGGCTGGATGACTGTCTGAGGCCAGCCGCAGCTGCCCGCATAGCTGCCAAGGCCGCTATCTGTGCCCTCTGGATCCGGGCAGTGTCAGGTTCTGCCCCCTCCTCAGAGAGAGGGGGTTCCTGGCTGCGGCCACGGGGCAATGCTGTGATGCCAGGGGCTGACAACATGGTCGGATTTGGTGCAGGGAGGGGCAGAGGATTGCTCTGCGGCTGGTCCTGTTGCTGCCGCGCCTCCATCTCTTGCTGCAGCCGGGCACGTTGTTGGCGCTGCAGGTTCTCCATGACGGCCTGCAGCTTCATGGCTCTGCCTGCAGGGGGCAGTGTCCTGGCAGAGGAAATCAGAGGGGCAGAGCAAGGCTCCAAAGGGGAGGAGCCTATGCTTTGCACAGGAGAGGGAGGGGCTGTAGAATAGCGATCAGTCGGGGTCAGCGCCGTGAGGAATGCTGGGAGATGCCCTCTGCCCCAGATGTTCTGGGGAGGGCAACCACTTTTTAAAAAGTGTCACAAGACTGCACTGTCTTGTGGGTTAGGGAGAAACCCGTGGCACCATTAACCACTTCCAAAAGGCGGCTCTTTCCACAGCAAGGGGACGACGGCAAGTCAATTTGTACAGAAAGGAGTTTGCAGAGATATTTTTTTAAAAAGGCTATTCAAATACCATGATGCTTTAAAAATTAGCCGTGATCCTGCAGTTCAAGGTCCCACGTTCTATGCAACCACGTTGCTTTGCGCCAACCTGAACTGAAGCTTAACCCTGTTCTTTTGCCACGTTTCTTTCCATCCAAGGAGGGCTTAGGGGCAATCTGCAAACTGTGAGTTGTCCACCTCTTCTTCTTCATCTAGGCATCAGTGAAAAACCTGTCCTTTAAAAAAGTAAACACAAACATATACAGAAAAAACATTAGGATGGCAAGAGCTAGAAAGTTGACTTCTTACCAAAGGTTAATTCATCCAGATATAGAAACTATACAAAATTTAGCTGTTGAGCTCATAAGGTGTGTTTTATTGAAGTAGTTCCTCCAATGCCTGTCTATAAAAAGATGGAAAATGGATTTAAAAATGCTAGATATAGAAAACAGAACAAGAAGAACCCACTAAGATCAGAATCTTTAATCTGAATCATGTGGAAAGTGGAAATAATGACTACTATCTCTGAAGCCAATTTTATCAATAAGATGCTATAAACATCGCATACCCACAGATACATGTATATACATATACTACACATATAAACAAAAGCGGAAGCAATTATAAAAAGGGGAACAACATTTTTTTTAACAAACAGGAAGGTAGGAGAGAGTTTTTCGGCTTTTGCCAGCAAAACCTTTGGTCAAGAGGGAACAGTGGTGCAGTTTTTAGATAATGTCCACAGTTAATGATTGTGGCTTATAACCCCAACCCTCTACCTCTTACAAAATGTATCTCAACACGAAGAGCATGTTCACACAGTCACAAGCAACACTTTTTACTGTATTTCTACTAATCTCTCAGGAGGCATCGGCCCAAATAAATTCATTTACTCTGTAAATTTGCATGGGTGTGGCCTACCTTAAATCGTGCCTGTTGGCTAACACAAATTTAAAAAGAAATGGAAATGTTGATATATAAAAACAGTAGAAAACAAACAATAAAACATAGGCTGTTACAAACAATGATTCTTCAATCCGCACAAAGTAAAAAACACCAACCAGATTCCACGACTAGCCTGCCCCAAAAGCCCAAGGGAACAGCCAGGTTTTAAAACCCTTCCAAAAGGTAAGGTAAAGGTAAAAGTTCCCTTTAGTCGTTCCCGACTCTAGGGGGTGGTGCTCATCTCTGTTTCAAAGCCGAAGAGCCAGCGCTGTCTGAAAATGTCTCCGTGGTCATGTGGCTGGCATGACTAGTGCACGGAACGCTGTTACCTCCCCACCAAAAGTTGTCCCTATTTTTCTACTTGCAATTTTTACATGCTTTCAAACTGCTAGGTTGGCAGAAGCTGGGACAAGTAACGGGAGCTCACTCTGTTATGCGGCGCTAGGGATTCGAACCGCCGAACTGCCAACCTTTCTGATCGAAAAGCTCAGCGTCTTAGCCAATGAGCCACCGCCACCACTGAGCCACCAAAAGGTAGACAGGGATAAATTACTACCCTGTTTCCCCGAAAATAAGACCTCCCAGGATAATAAACCGAATCGNTCTACATTGTGGTGACCAAAACTGGATGCCGTATTCCAAGTGTGGCCTTACCAAGGCCTTATAAAGTGGTATTAACCCTTCACGTGATCTTGATTGTATCCCTCTGTTTATGCAGCCGAGAACTGTGTTGGCTTTTTTTTTTTGGCTAAAAACATTCAGGAAAACCTTCATGGATAAATAATTAGCCACCCATAAAACCTCAGCTGCTGTCCTTGAATGGTAAACTCAGAACAGTGACTCCCCAGGAACTAAGTGACAGGCGACATACCTTCCTTCAAAGCGATCTTGGAAAAACTCGAATAGGCCAGCTCACCCAACGAGATGGCCTAATGTTTGAAAACAGAGTCTATCCTTGCATAAATGGGCACATAATGATCCCAGTTAATTAGCTACTCTGCAATGCAATTAACAAACTAAAAAAAAATTACATAGGAAAAGCTGCACGCCAAATTGAAAGTTGCTTACAAAAGGTCGAAAGATTTGACTGTACGCCAATAAATACATATTAACAATGGAACGTGCTTAACAATCTGTGAAACTTTTTGAATGTTCAACGTTTTTCCATACACAGGACCTAAAACATGGCCTGTTCTCCACCCTAGTCCTAAAACTAGACAGAGAACCCAATTAAACATATAAGCCAAATAAAAGAGATAATATGTAGCTCTGGCTTGATTTTTTTTTATTTCTTTGCCTCCCCCCCCCCCATATTTACAACAGTACACATAAGAAATTTGTTTCACTTTCAGTTTGAAGACACAAAGGGGGGGGGGGGGAGACAGTTTCCAGTTAGCATTTGTGTGCATGCATGTTTAAAATACGCACTCTCTAAAGCTGTGATGGCGAATCTGTGGCACACGGAGCCGTCTCTGTGGGCACATGAGCTGTTGCCCAGTTCAGCTCCACCGCATATTTGTGTGCACCTCCCGCCGGCCAGCTTATTTTCATGTCTCTGCTGCGCATGCGCGGAGCGCATGTGGGAGACAAGTGCATGTGGGGGAGTCACACATTCCTGTGCGGGGGGCAGGGGAATGGTGTGTGTGCGTGCGTGTGTGTGGCACCTTCAGGGTGGCCTGCTAGGCCCAAAATAGGCCGCCGTTTGTGTGTCTGTGTGTAGTGAGCCCCCCTTGTCCCAATTTTGTCCTCTGAGGCTTCAGGGATGTCTACTAGGCCCAAAATGAGCTGCATGGGGGGGAGGTGAGGCTCTTCCCCGTAGCCAGTTTTTATCCCAGGAGGCTTCAGGGAGGCCTGCTAGGCCCAACCCAGAGAGCAGGAAGGTCATGCACACATGCACAGGGGAGAGCGCGGAGAGTTGTGTGTCCATGTGAAGGGTGCGCATGGGGTGTGTCCCATGCGCATTGCATTTAGGGATGAGGGCAGCCATCACTGCTCTAAAGGATTTGTCCCAAAATCGTTAAGAATCGTCGTTTTTTAAAATCCAGTTCTGTTCCTTCCTCATGTCTGACAAATCTGAGCCATTTTTTAAAAAGGTTCTTAATAAATGAGTACCATTTTAGAATATTTGAGATGAGAAGGCGGCAGATGGAGCAGAATATTGCACTGAATGTTCTCAATGAGTCCACCCGAAATGGGAATTTGTCTATTTATAGGATTGGCAACTAAAAGTCTAAGTCAGAACCTGTCATTTGGCCCAGTCGGTGCCAACTTCCTCTCTAAGTCACCAACTTTTTCTGCAACTTGGCTGAAGTACCCAGTCATCTGTGCAGAACCTGAAGGAAATCACCGTGGGTGGAGAGACAGCTAAGAGTGATACGCAATAAAACTGTGTGAAGCTTCAATTGGAATCAGAAAAGACAAACTGAACTGTCAAATTGAATTGGACGCCTCTGAATCAATTTGGCAAATTCGGATGAGATGCTCGAATGCTCTTTTTTTTCTCCCTGCCAAATCATTTGGACTTGATTTTCAGAAGGGGACTTGATTTACTGAATTGTCTTGAATTATATTCTATCAACTGTCCAAACGCTGAGGATTTGCTGGAGATGTTCCATATATATTCTCCCATTTAAATACCTTTTGCTTCTTGTACGTCTGCAAACTTGGCAATGTGAAAACATGTGGATTTCAACTCCCAGGATTCCCCAGACAATGTATTCCCCAATACATTTGTTCCTTAAACTTATATCAATATCACCCTTCTCCTTGTCAGAAAAAAGTTTCAAAATGTTAAGACTATCCATTCTGGAGGCCAGAAAAAGTGCTTTTTTTTTTACTCTTGCAATAAAGAATGTGAAAAATTAGGAGGGTGGTCAACATTATCCAAATATTCTTCATTATTTGCCCCAAATTCAGTTTCTAGAGCTTTATCTGCAAAGCCATCCCTTTTTATTCTTCTCCTCTTTTGGAATTAGGAACTGTATTGGTAATGCAAGCCAACAATGGGGCTAATAGCAAAATATTCAGATGGCAGACCAAAACGACAGACCCATTGGTAATAAAGCTAGAGAGAACTACAGATACAAGTTGGTGTCAGAAAGTGAATTATGAAAAATAGATCCAGTTTCAAACTACGGCTTTATTCAGGCCAACAACAAATTAGTTGGGCCAACTGTTTTCTCAACTTCATTCCAATTTCTCCAAATGTGACTCATAAAAATCATACCACTCTCCATAATATGGTATTTTTTTTAAAGCTAACAGTGCCATCTTTTTAAAAAAATTCCCCGAAATAGCCAATTTGGATAGCAAACGCCAACAGAAAATAAGTGAAAACGGATCACCGGGAAACGAAAAAGAAGATGTTAACAAGGTCAAAAAACCTCTGAAGTTCACAGAAGTGCAGATACATTTTAGGAGTCAAAAATAATGAACGGGTAAAAAAGACGAAATTGACGGTGGCTACGCCGTGGCTCAGAGGCTGGGACGCTGAGCTTGTCGATCAGGAAGTTTGGTGGTTCGAATCCCTAGCACTGCATAACCGAGTGAGATATCCAATTATAGGGGTACAATCTTGACTTACAACCAGGGGTGATATTCACCTACTTTCCCTACCAGTTCGCAAGTGTGAGAGCGCACGTCCATGCATGCGCTTGGACTTCTGTGCATGTGCTTTGATCACGCGTGCAGCTTGCACGCATGAACGTGGCTTGAAAATGTGCCTAAATAGGATGACATAGAGCCGGGGTAGCTAGGCGGGCAGGGGAAGGCCCATGCGGGGGCGGGCCCACCCCCACCCACGATTTCCACTATCGGTTTGAGCGAACTGGTCCCGACCAGCTGAATACCACATTTACTTACAACCATTTGTTGAGGGATCATTGTACCAAATATTGCCTTTATATTCTAAAGCACAAGGGAATCTCTACACAGGTAGTCCTCGACTTACAACCATTTGTTTAGCGACTGCTTCAAGTTACAAGGGCACTGGAAAAAAGTGACATGACCATTTTTCACGCTTGCAACCGTTGCCCCATCCCCCATGGTCACGTGATCAAAATTTGAGCGTCTGACTCATAATTATGATGGCTGCAGTGTCCCGGGGTCATGTGGTCCCCTTTTGTGACCTTCTGACGAGCAAAGTCGCTGGGGAAACCCGATTCACCTATTATTCATTTAACAACTGCAGTGATTCACTTAACAACTTCGGCAAGAAATGTCGTAAAATGGGACAAAGCTCACTTAACAACTGTCTTGCTAAACAATGAAAAATTTGGGCTCAGT